TATATATATATATATATATATATAGGCCTATTCAAGGAAGAACTGAATTGTTTGTGGTAACTGTGAGAACCAATCTCAACCAATCATTTTAATATATTAATTATACAATTAAAATCAAATTAAAAAGGTATGTTAGTCAATTCCTAATTTAATATTAAATTTTAATTTTTAAAATGGAACCGTTTCAAATAAAATAGTTAATATTGATTTACATTCCTAAAATAAAATATTAATGTGATTTAGCGAAATAATTTCAAAAAAAATAATCAGTGTGTGTAAATCTGATGAATCACATGGAATCACACATATTTGTTGAAGATTGTATCCATAATATTTAAGAATGTGGAATCAATAAGTTTTTTCTGCAAAAATTTCATCCTGGAGATTGATAACGTAATGAAGAACAATGGTAAAAATCCTATTGATTCTTCAATTCATGTCAATTCTGATGAATATAGTGTATATGTCAATTCTCATGAAGAAAATATAGATGTTATGGAGGTTGTAACCTGGGAGGCTAATGAAGAATTTGATGTAGGACTTTCTCCATTAAAGATGTCCAAAAAAACTGTGAAGAAATCGGTTTGGTAGAAGATATTGAAACTCATGTAATTGATGATAAAACAGGCTACACATCGAACAATGAGATTCAGAATGATGAAAATCCAGGTTTTTGTTTCATACAACTGTTGAAAACTACGTTAATTCTACAATATAATGTGCTCAACCTGATTTGTATCACAGTGTGTTATCCAAATTAGTTATCATCACCTCGTTCACTCTACTTATATTTTTGGTGTGATTCTTGAATTCTTTAATATCTTCTTGGTGTGATTCTTGAATTCTTTAATATCTGCTTTTTTATGTCTATTAATTTTAGATGTATTTTGTTGTATTAGAACCTGTAATGCCTCTATATGTATCAATGATTTAGGCATGGTTGTGGTACCGTGTATGTAAATACAGTATATTGTTGTGCAAACTTGTGATACATTATTAAATGGTCCTTGTATATGTTTTAATTCATGTTTTCAGAATACTTCTTACTGTCTACTCTGTATTGGTTTTATCTTCTTGTTTTGATTATGGAAATCTTTAATATCTACAATTATATGTGTATCTTCTTGTGGTACTGTGTATATAAAGACAATATATTGTTGTGCAAACTTGTGGTACATTAATAAATGGTCCATGTATATGTTTGAATTCATGTTTACAACTATTGATCAAGCAGAACAAGAATTATCAATATCACCAGGTGGTACTAATTGGTATACTCTTGTAGTCGAATAAGTTATCAAGCCCATTATAGGATCTGCGTATCCGTCATTGGATGTAGCAGAATCGATATACCAAAAATATGCTGAGACGGCTGGATTTGAGGTACGACAATCAACCCAAAAGATTAATCCTGATGGTGTAATACAGAATAAATACTTCGTATGTAGTAGGTTTGGTTTGCCATTGAAAATGTCGTTTGATTTGATGGTACGCCGTAAACATCAAAGAGAAGTGTGGAACTCCAATATTAAAAGGACCGGGTGTACAACAAGTGTGAAGTTCCGATTGATGAAAGGAACAACAACATATGAGTGTTACGGTTTTGAAGAGGACCACAACCATTCACTTTTGAGACACGAGGATATGGATTTGACCAGAAAAGGACGCCAAATGAAATTTTCAGATCAGCGATTTGTTCATGATGCCGGAATCTCAAATATGGGTGCCACACGGGCGCATAAGTTGCATACGTCTCTAAGAGGAGGGTACGAATACGGTGGTCCAGCGGTTGTCGATTTTCAAAGTTATAAGAGGGACTGCGACAATTTTGTCAATGACAAAAAAGAGGGATGCTGATCATAATTTCTTTTTCGAGTACAATTGTGTTGGTAGCGAGTTGCATACTATCTTCTAGGTTGATGAAGTAGCTCGATTCAATTATTCTGAATTTGGAGATGTAATATCTTTTGATGCTACATTCCGAACAAACAGGTTCATATATTTTGCTTTAAAAGAAGATGGCCTTATTTATAAACTACAGTTACTGATATGTTTATTGTTTCAGACATTCCATGGTTTTTGTTCCCTTCACTGCGGTTGACAATCATAACTGCAATGTCGTTGTTGGATCGGCTTTGGTTGGACATGAGCATGTTCCAAATTACAAGTGGCTACTCCAAGCATTTTGGAAAACACATTCAAAGCCCCCTATGATGATTCTTACCGACCAATGTCCTGCGATGAAGCAAGCAATTGCATCAGTCTTTCCAGATTCAAGGCACAGGCTTTGTATTTGGCACATCATGAATAAAGTTTTGAACAAGGTTATAAAGAAACCGAAAAACCTTTACTTGCAGTTTAGTTACGTAATTAAATCTGTTTACTCTTTATTTTCTTACATAATTAATTTACTTGCAGTTTAGTTACGATCTTCATAATAATACCACGTTTAAGAAACAATTTTTCAAGCTCGTATGAAACATTCACATATCACCTGATGAGTTTGAGAGTAGATGGATGGTTCTTATCGAGGAGTTCTCCCTTCAAGATCATCCATGGTTGAAAGATATGTTCGCTCTAAGATCCCAGTGGATACCCGCGTATTTTAAAGAGCTTCCAATGTGTTGCCTCATGAAGACAACATCCAGGTCGGAAAGTGCGAACTCTTTCTGTAACTCTTTTTCAAAAAGTGGAAACAATATTTTTCAGTTTATGTTGGGGTTTGAATTTGCCTTGGAGAAACAACGTCGGGAGCAACGTCGTCTTGATTATCACACGAAAACTACCTTACCTAAATGGTTGACCTATAGCCAGCTTGAGAGGCACGCCTGTGAGATTTACACGCGTTCTGTATTTTTTGAGGTGCAAACCAAGATACACAGGGCTCCCTGGACATGTTCAATTAAGAGTGTCAATTCAAATGAGGAAGCTGAAACATATTTAATTGAACATTTAGACAAAAGAGATGAGAAAATAGCAGAGTATAAGGTATGTTCATATAGAAAGTCATTTATTATTGGTTTTAATATTATTGTTTTTCTTTGAACAACATTTCAATTGTGATATTTGATGTTAGACGTTTATATTATGCACAGGTTGTTCGTAACTTGAAGGAGTCTACCGTTGTTTGTAGTTGCAATCACATCGGTCGTCATGGTTATTTATGCAGACATGTGTTCAAAGTTTTGCAAAACGCCGGTTTTGAATCTATACCTGAAGAATACATTTTGAGAAGATGGAGACGTGACCTTATACATATTGAACTTCAAAACAGCTGTCAAAGAATATGCGACGTAGGCGAGGATCAACAGAGAATAATTAATGATACATATGAAATCGTCGATGATGTGTTGGATATATTAAGAGATGACAAAGAAAAACTAGAATCATTTGTGGCTACACTCAAAGAAATGAGAGATGATGTAGCMAAAGATCGCACATATGAACCTTCGATGAAACGTAAAGAGCGTGGAATAGAACAAATTCTTGGTTTTACAAGACCTGATAACATTGAAATACATCCTGCTACTGGTATAAGAAACAAAGGTTGTGGTACGTCCAAAAGATTGATTGGTACAGCTAAGAAAGCAGCAGTGAAGAGTAGCAGGCCTAAGAGGATGTGTAGTGGTTGCAAGATGATGTCTAATCATGATATCTGTAACTGTCCAAATAAGACAAAGTAGGACTATTCTGTTTTTTATGTTTCCGATCCATTTATTTTTATATAAATACACTTATCAGTTTTTTTTATGATATCGATTGAATTGAATTCGTAGTTTTTATCAGTTTTTAATGGAATTATATATGTTTATGTACTGTGTTGAGTATAAGTTATATAGATATAGTATAAGTTATATAGATATAAAATATAACTGGTTAAGTTGGTTTAGCAATTCTTGACTATTTGCATGATGCATGATTCATGGTTTATAGTTATGATTCAATGTGGAACAATATGATACATAATAGAAATTACCTTGATAACAGTTTTCACTATTTAATTCATGATTTGTATTTATGGTTTACTGTATGAAGTACTGTGAAACAATGTGATACGATGTGATACATATGATACATAATCACCCAGTACATACATGTGTGATATCAATTTTAGTAATTACTTCATGATTCGTAATTATGATACATAGTCCATACATGTATTGCAATATGTGATACCAACCATTAAACAACTTAATGAAATTAGACAACATATGAAATACGCAGAACAATTTATGTATTTAACAAAAAAWTTCGAAATATCCATTTCATATAAGCTAAATACCAGACGTTTATGTCTTAAATACAAAAACCCAGCTTAACATATCAGTTAGAGAATCTGTTCCAAACAAGTTACAAAAGTAACTACCATTTACTGTATACTATATAAAATACTATTCCAAATCAGTTCTTAAATACTTGCGAGTCTCGCTTCCCTGTTAGATTATGCGCATTTAAGCAAACACGTTTTCTCCTTCAAATCCAGTGCGATAAACTTTTCACAATCTGCTATCACAAATGGTCGTCTAATGTTGATCTCTGAAAGCAATAGTTTAGCAGTGTATTTCCTTCTCAATAATTGGAGTTGTTTGACTTGGTTTGCTCCTTCTACATCTAGTCCTGATTTCCAACAGTAAGGCAGCTCCCCCATGTAGCACTCCATATGACACATCAAGAATACACCACAATCATGAGAATTCTGTTTAGTAGACCATTTCAATGCTATCTTCACCGGATCTATCCCAACAAAATCTTCATACAATGGATGACCTACCTTCTTGAGATGTTGTATCATCAAAAAATGCTGCAAGAAAACGATAAATATGACACTCAAATCAATGTATAAATAAACATAAAATGAATGAATTAAAAATATAGTTTGTTTGAAGTTCCTCGCCAAAAGATCCGGTATTTCCTCATATTGGTTGGGTGCTTCAAGATCTTGCTGAAGGTTATCTATAACCAATATGGAAGGACGTTTGAAGTTGAACACCACCACAAAGTAATGCATGTCTCTAACGATGGGAAAGAATAACCGCAATTGGTAGTTGTGTGTTAAATGTAATATCTAAAAAACACATAATAAATGTGGTTACTACATATTAACTCACCAAGTCAATTGATTTGAAGGTAACCATGTTTGGATCACCTCCAACCGCTGCCAATAGATTGTCAACAAACATATCCAGCTTAACATCCTCCTTTATTTTTGAATCAAGCATTGCTGTCGACTGGTTCAACAATTTCGTTGTTAGAAAATTTACAAGTTTGTATAAATGATTTACGTTATTTATATAAGCATACTTACAAGAATTGCGTTGTGCATAAAAAGCCTTCTCGGTGATGATTTGTTCCTAAAACGCTATTCGTAGTTTAGTAATGCTGCCCAACTATCAACGACATTACTATATATCTGTGTTCGTGCACATAGGGATTCTATCGTCCCTCTCAACGCAACGGCTCCTGATTTGGTCTCAAATATAGATTCACTGCATCATATAATCGGAAGTAGTAAGTTAATACCATACTTTATTTGGTATATGTATTAAACATAATATATTAAAAGGTAATGGTACTTACCAAGTTGGTTCTGTTGATGCATTTATCCAATTGCATATTTTCTTCTCAGAGCTTGTCTCTACTTTATCGATCTCCACACATCATTTAACATAAGGAGATCTTAGTGATTCCCCTAAGTTCGCATCCCTTCTTGATGCTTTAGGTGCATCACATATTGATTCCACTTGTGCGTTTGGTGAGAACAACGATTTTTTGAATGAAGTGATGTATGAAAGGGGTTGCGGATTCTGGACAGTCTTATCAAGTGAAATACCTAAATCAAACTTTGGTATTTCAGTGTTCTTGTTTTGTATTTTTCATGGCATATGAAATGAACGAATTATCTAGTTCCATATGAGTTCGTGGACTGTTCTAGATCGGTGAATCGACAAGGGATGCACCTGGTACAATCTGCATTCCAGCAGTTGAATCGAGGCTTTTTTCCAAATCTCTATATTCCTTCTCCATCATTTTCTTTGACCCCTTCGCAGTTCTCTTTAGCGTTTGAAACAATTGAATTTGAGTTTCATTGTTCAGAGCATCTCCTGTAGAAGTATCTTCTTGTCCGAACATACTTTGCAGCTCCCTGCTCATTATCCTCAAGTCTCTAGCCAAAGGGAAATCTGATATGGCATTGTCTATCAACATCTCAGTGCTTTGTTTCTGTGCTAAGATCGAATCCATCTTTGACCTTATACAATCCTTGTATTCCTGTATGTGTTATTTTAAACAAATAATACATTAGTATGTAATTAGTAGAATGCAAACCATAATGTAGCATAACATGTCCAACTGTTGTGGTATCATGTGGTACATATTACTGTGTTGGTTTCATAGGTACATTCTCATTCCCCAAAGGTTGTGGACACATGTGGTACCTAAAACATTCATGGATACCACAGTGATTAATGTGTCTGCAAGCAGTTTGGAAATGGGAATGTATCTATGCAAACACATGTGGTACCTATAACTATGTTAACATGTGGTACATATTAATGTGTTGTTTGCCTAGGTACATTCTCATTCCCCAAAGGTTGTGGTTTCATGTGGTACCTAAACCATTCATGGATACCACAATGATTAATGTTTTTGTTCAAACAATTTGGAAATGCAAACACATGTGATACCTATGTCTGTGGTAACATGTGGTACATCTTACTGTTTTGGTTTCATATGTACATTCTCATTCCCAAAAAGTTGTGGTTTAATGTGGCACCTACCACAGTCATTGGAAATGGATGTATCTATGCAATCACATGAAAACACATATTTGGAAATGGGATCTATGCAAACAGTTTAATGTGTCCAAACTACTGTTATGTTGATTAATATACATAAGATTAAATCAATTTCATAAATACCTCCAACTTAGTCTTTGAGGAAACTTTCTTAGTCGCGATTCGTTCAACAAAATCATCGGGAGATCTGTCTTTCTCGGTTCCAGCATCAACAATAAGTGGCCAAGTTCCAAACCCCCCATCTTTTAGTTCCAAATACTCCCTCAGTCGAAGGTAGTCCATGTTCCAAACAGTGATGGCTGGCCACCTTCTTTCAACTTCAAACTTCTTACATACTGTCAAATCTGCATACAAAAGCTTTGGACAATAAATGAAAAAAGTGGTTAGTATACTATATCAATTATATAACAGAAAAAGTTGCAAAGTAAAAACATACGTACCGTCAAGAACGTTATTGGCCCTGAAATAGAACGTCTCAGTGTTCTTTTCACTATTCAACGTGTCTTTGCTGGTTCTTAGGCAATCAAAGACATATTTGCTCCAATCTATCTTTCCTATGTCAGTGTCCTCTGTTATGTACGTAAGAACCCCTGGGTTGCAATGACCACATGAATTGCATTATGCCATTGTTGAAAGAAACAACATTAAAAAGTTAATCTTGAACAGAAAATCTGCATCATCCGACTCTTCAACTTTTTTCATCACATCGGATATCCAAACTCTTTGGCCAGGGAATTGTGATCTCCAACTAGTCTTTACATTTTTGTATCGGGGAACTGGGTCCGTCAAATATATATATCTACTCCTCTAATATCGGGGAACTGGGTCCGTCAAATATATATATCTACTCCTCTAATAGGAGTCCCCAGCATATCGTGCACCATCTTTGTAGTTAACTTTATGGTCCCTTGGCCCAATCGAAGCTCCATCGCACATGTATCTAGCTTGTCCACTAAGTAGAATGCTAACTTGGCAGGAATGTAATCTGTCCGCATCTTTAATATACCGCCAAAACCCATTTCTTCAACCACTTTCTTTTGATCATCATTCAGAGTCTGAATAGCCATACACAATGGCCTAGGTGTGGTCCGGACCCTAATTGTTTGCAGACTACCTGACTTCTTCTTTTTAAGGCTTTTACCAACCACCTTTCTAGCAAGTTTCTCTTTTTTGTGTTGGCTCCCACCAACCGTAGTTGCTTTCAAATTCTGACCTTTTCCAGATGCTTGTTTTGATACATTCTTCGATCTGTTCCTTGTTGTCATTGGATTATCCTCTTCAACATCATGGGTAGGTGAGTTTGCTCGCCTTTCTTTGGGTGTAGATGATGAATCATGAACCTTCCTGCGGGGCTTGAGTTCCTTATCTTTCATGGATGTCTTTGATAATGATTGTTTCGGAGCAGTTGGTAGAATAACTTTTACTCCAGACGGTGTTGTAACGACAGTGGGTTTACCTTCAAAATTATTTAATTAATAGTGAAGTTATAACAAATAATGATGACTATTAATGCATCAGGGTGTGAGTAAAGGAAACATGTGTAATTATTGATATAACTGATTTTGGTCCAATCATTCCCATATTTCATCACAATTAGTGGGTAATTTAGATGTTGGACTAATAGTCAAACCTTTCCATTAAACTATGTGTTGAGTCAAACATTGTATATGTATTGGAACATAATGAATATTTTTCATGTAGTAGCTGTATCATAAGAGCAGATGAATCGACAACTTGGTGTATACTAAATTGGACGATATACAAGAATATCATACGAGAGTGACAAGTCCTTGTGCACATATACATGTACATTTGAGTTCAATCAAACTATCAAAAGTATTCTATGACAGCCACAATAAAGATCCCCTTATTTGTTTTCACTCATCTGG